GGGTTTGGAGAAGATATAAGATGATGTGATTTTAAAAAAAAAAAATGTTTACAAAGAACAGACACATTTTAAAGATCTACAAATGGTCCTTTGCTCTTATATACTCTGTTTGTTCAGTATGTCTATGCTTGTAAGAATTTTCTAAGAAGAGATAAGGGAGAGAAAAGAGATGATTTAATTTAAAAAAGAAAATTTAAGATTCATAAGAGCATTCATAGTCCAGGGCATAAACAAAGGCGCGAGTTGAAGCTCCATCAACAGAGTTAGAGATCATTTCAATTAAAGCAACAATTACACTAGAAGTTACTCCAGCAATGCCAGAAACAATTATTTCAACAAATATTTGGTATTGCGGAATTTATTTTCGAGATTGTGCCATTGGATAAGAGTTTCCTTTGCAATAACTTGGGTCCCCATAACATTTAGTTGCATTCAATTAGTCAGGAGAATTGTATGTGTCAAGTGGGGCTAGATATATATTAGTAGGGTACTTTGTGATGGGAGTGTATAAAATGGAAAGAGGGTAATGCCCAGCCCTCCTCACAATTGTACTGCAAAGATATGCTGATATTAGACTAAATTGCAACCAGAATAAATGATCTTAGCACATTCATAAAAAAGGACAAGTTTGGATCCCAAACGAGCTGAAGTAAATGTCATACCTGAAGCAATCCCATTCTATCTTGTATTGATGTCTGTGATCTACCCATCCTCCAGAAGACAGAACCAAATATGAGAGCTGATGCAATCGACATTCTTGCTCGAACTTTGTTTGTTGGGCCATCACGAGAAGCCTTTTATTGATGGGCAAGTATCAACCAAATAAGGCAAGCGAAACAATAAAAAGAACACAAACAGTCAAATAATGAGTTCTTAACATATGCAGAAAGGGAGGTCGACAATCTGATAAGCAATTCCATAACAGCCTGTGAGAATCTACAATGTCAGCCATGTGCAGCTGTTAGATTGTTAGGAATTTTCTTTATGGACTTAATTCATCAGGATCAGGATAGAAAGGAAAAATAAGAAAAGTGGAAAGTTGGAAGGAATGTCGTTTAAAATTCAGCTAGCAACCCAAACACCATCCTCCTTCACGGAAGAAAGAAAGAAAGAAAGGTGGTCCCTCCAGCAGGAAGGAGGAACTAACTATTAAAAGAGATGTGTCAATAGTAAAACAAGAGTAAGGATACGCAATATATTGGACCGCAGAATCTTGTTTACTGATCATTTTATTTCCTATGCAGCATAAGTTAAAAATCCAGCAAATACTACTATCCGTATATTCTAATCACAGTATGCCAGGGCCATATTACGAGTTTGTCTATCCCTCAATAAGGCCACTAATTTCTGTTATCCTTTCATTTAGCCCCTGTTTAGTTTGGATAAATTAAAATCTCAATTGAAAATCAACAATTAAATTTAACCACACACTTCATAGGATAGGATCCATAAACCACACATTTCATCAACTTTCAAAATCTACTAAAAATCTGATTTTAACCTACATCAAATAAGGGCATAATCTGGCATTCATATTATGGTGATTCATCTTCCATTTGACTGCTTTTCCATGCTAGTGTACACTACAAGAACTTAGAATCCCTCAAATGAAAGGATTCCAATAAACTGCAGAATTCTTTAATAAGTAAAAAACTTATGAGTTCCACCTGCATCCATGCACGTTTAAGTAGCAGCCAGAACTGCCTCCACCAACCACCTTTCCTTTTAACTACAGTTCTCTTCATTGAGTTCATGTTGTTCTTAAGATCCTCCCTGGTAAGTGGAGTTGTATATAGAGTTAATGGTGTCTGCTCAGCAAATGACTCAACAAGACTATCTATCCTTTTCTGAGAAGCATTGACACTCTCGGCCGAAGTGTAGTCTACTGATATAAGATCAGCCAAAAATTCAGCGGGATTTACATGATCGGGACAAATATACCTGTCATTTAATTATTGACTTGATCAGCACTTAGTTAACAGTATGAAGTAGCAACCACATCAACATAAAAGGGAGTATGTGACTAAATATAGATCATCAAAGTGTCAGTAGAATAATCAAGTGAAAATAAGTTAATAAGGATACTTGAACATACCGTACGCCACCAACATATCAATGAAAACATGACATCATTCTGCACAGAGAACGGTTTAAAGTGTATACTTGTGCCTATTCTGTCGATGCTGTTTATCGTGTAAAGAGTCAAATGTAAATTGTCTCCATTTATGAAAACTAACAAGAATACTCTTATTAACAAATGATTAACCATCAGCCTACTAATATATAATGGTAAAGAATTGACAATATAGCTCTTTGGTGAGTTGCTCTATGGTCAACTATTAAGAATCAAATCAGCTTAGCGTATTTCTTCAGAAAAAAACATATGAGATTACTGCTGATTTTGATGGAATATCCATAGAAATTACAGGAGACATTTAATTTTTCTGATATTGGACAGAAAAGGGATTTGAGAAATCTATTGGGATAATCCTGGTTGAATAAAAATGTCACGTTTGCAAAGGATTTGAAAAAGGTACAAGAAATGCGATGTGTAAATTTTGAAAGAATTGTACGAAAAAATTTGTTATTTAGTCACAACCAAAATGTTTTTGACACAGTGCAAGCCTGTAATTATATCTCAAAGAGAACTTCTTTGTGCCAGTATCAGATAACTACATTTGTGATACGGATTACCAAAAGTGTTAAAGGATTCAATGGGTGAACTTAGTTCTTACTAGAACTCAGAACTAACATCAAGCTGATTCTTACATGCACTCTATGCTTAGAAACTAGTGGCTGCTTAAATACTTGACTATTTATTTTTATCTCCTGACCTCCTCTTGTAGAAAAATAAATCATATACAAATATGATGGACATTTAAATGTACTAGAATACAATATTATGGAGCATCAAAAGAAGTGGATTGTCTTATTTATATATTATCACAAAAACTTAATATCTGAAGTTGGAGAAACATAACAGGAAAAATTCGGGTGCAAGTCATATGCAAGAAGGTTGCCACGCCCAAACTGTACTTAGAAATCCTACTCATAACCTCCTTTTATATATACAAGGAATTGGATCCACACATATATATGCAGTTAGTCCCATATTTCACATGGAATAACAGCAACCTGAACAATTTCAACCTGGCATGGTAAGTGTACATTAAAAAGCATCCCATAACTCACCCAAATTTTGAAAAGTAAACCAATACTTCATCACGTGCAGGACCAGCATAAACAAGTGCGCCTTCTGTCAGTAACACGATGTCATCAAATTTTTCATAAACTGAACTTCTAGGCTGGTGTATAGAGCAAATCACAGTATGCCCATCCTGTGCAAGTTGTCGTAAGGTTTCCATCACTTTCTCTGCCTGGAAGGCATCAAGTCCTGAAAGCATCAGTTTTATAAGTAATCAACACAAATTAAACATTACTGCATTATTTATCTGTCATGAGAAAAAAGACCGAAGAGTAACGTGAGAATAGCAAGGAAAGAAGGGACTTAGCTGTTGCAATGTGGAAATCTAAATACTGCAGAAATGTTTCAAAACGTGGTAACTAGTTCTAAAAAGCAGGGTTTGCAAGTTATTAAGCAGATTCGGGGGAAGCATTGACTAGATCAGTTAAATGTTACAGCTAATTTCTGTCATAAATTTACGAATACAGTTATGAAGTTGAGGATTTAGACATACCTGAATCTTTGATTAAAAAATGATGTTTCAAAGAAAAAGGTAAAAGAAGAAATGCACACCATTTGATTGATATTACAAGATGGAAAGAGCATGAGTGAAGCTACAATGATGTGTGTATTGCACTAACAATCATGCACATACTCAGGAAAGCTACATGTCCTCGTCGGACATTGACACTCATTAGACACTATATGATAGCAAACCCCTTGATTTGTGCAACAACAAAAAATGAATAAATAAATAAATAAAAAATCAACACCCAATTATATAGTGCAAATAATTAGTTAGTCAAATTTCCACTAGGATTAGAGATAAAGAGAAAGGATAGGACTCCACAAAATTAGCCCCAGTCACTTCGTCCTAACTTTTAAGTTTCACCTCATGACGTGTTCAGGTTGGACCTTGAAACTACAAAATCAAAACAAAAGTGAAAAGCCAAAAGAACATAAAAGAAACAGCTCAAGCTCAATTCAGCATGCTTTTGTTAAGCTTGAACTGCCCTAATCTTGTTTTAGTTAAGGTTCTCAGGCTCGATCATATTCAAAACTCAAAATATTCCAACATAGTTCTCTTTACATAGATTTACAGACAAAGACAATCATGATGTTTGGGCCAGTATGTGTCACATGCGTAATCATAAATTTATATTCAGATACACTTCACACATGGGCATATTCTTTTGAAAGAGCTGCTTTCACAAATCGATTTCTCCCTATATCAGCTACTAGTTAAAGAACTATTTCTAAAACATCTTTTAAAGTAATATGAAATTGGTTTGCACCGTCTAAGAAAAATTCTGAACTTTCAAACATAACTGAAATTTTGAATTAGATAAAACTAAAAAAAGAGATGAAATATCACATACCAGTCGTAGGTTCATCAGCAAAAATGACAGAAGGACTAGCAATCAGCTCACATGCAAGTGACAATCTTTTCTTTTCACCACCACTGATTCCACGCACTTTTGCATCCCCAATTCGCGAATCAGCGCAACTGACCTTTAAGAGAAATGACAAAAGTGCAAGCAAAGAAAAATAAATGAACAGGAGCTATAGCTTTTACTTTAAGTGAGGTAGTTCACTTTCAATTATTCAAGTGGCAGAAACTGATTGGACTGAAAGAACTAAAGTCATTCTGCATTAATGCATTATGAGCGTGTCTTATTCTTGATCTGAAAGCAACGATAATATCTTTTGCCATACCAAATCCTATGTGGCCATCCACGTGGCATCTCGAGGCATACTGACCCATCATGATAGGTAAAGTTATTTACAGAAAACAAAATGGCCAATCAGAAAGCTAAAAGTAATATACTAGTCCTCAAAACAATTGAAGGGAGTAAGCCGTGGCACTATCAAGCTCAATACCGTGGCCTAACTCAGGCTAGGAAGGTCCAAGCTTGTATCGTGCAGTGCGTAAAGGAATCCCTGAAACTAGACAAAAAATCTTGGACATAGAAGCCAGCTTAGTATATATTTCTCAGCTCGGCATTCATTGTTGACACTGATATGGGTCAGAAGCCTACCAAACACAAAAAACAGGTATAGTGAATCCAAACTCACAAAATGTGACAGTTTACCTGCTACAAGAATGGCAGGACCCTGCAGTTGCAAAAGCATGGCTCTTCTAACACAATAGACTACAAAGACAAAGCCATCACTCTATACAAGGTAAGAGAAATCTAAAGCTCTATAAAACTTGGCATTATTTCTGACTCTTCTACAATAACCTCAAATAAAAATGGAGTGATATCACCTACCACCTCTTAAAGGTATATTCCACATACTTTAAATGCGAAACAATTATCAACTCCTCTTATCAAGGATGATCTTATTAATTGGAACCCAAAGACAATATAGGTTCAAAGCCTAAAATGCTCAAACAAGCAATTTGATCAGTATAAAATCTCAAACGAGTAAATGAATTCCAAAATTGGTATTCTCAAACGAGTCTTGTGGGTGCTACTTCTTTTAACAATGTTGAAATTTTAAGCTAGAACCCCTAGACTGAATGTCTCTAGCTTCCGATGGTTGCAGATTTTCGACAAGTTTATGCACTTTCAAGTTGACTATGTATGCTTAATGAATTCAATTGTCAAGATCACTAATGCCTCGAGGATTTGAATCAGACTTATCAGTAAATTATGTATTAAATTGCAAGAATTATAGTCAATGAATCAATAACAATAAATGGAAGATAGATGGAAAAGCAGAACATAATGTCTAGCGTTTCTAAATTTGAATGCATCTTACACAAATGAAATTCAAAGAAAAATAAAGGCATTCTTACAAGGCCTAGTTTCAAAAGGAGATCATTCACATATTCGTCTCTCTCTTCCACTGAAGATATTCCCTGCAGCTGGAGTTCAGCTGCAAGAGAAAGTGTTTCTCGAACGGTCAGCTGGGAAAAGAAAAGATCTTCCTGCCTAACATAGGCGAACCTACAACAGACAGGTTATTCATCACTCAAAGACATCAAATTTCCAAAAAATTAAAATTGTGCAAGAGAAGTCAATCATGAGAAGCCTCTAAAAGGTTGTAAGCCGCATGGTATTGTAGTTTTCACATACTTGTAAGCTTTGTTTGAGAATGGTTGCCCATTAACCTCCAAAAGGCCTGACAAATGCAATCTCGGCGACGCCACTATCTGACCTGCCAGAACATTGAGCAGGGTTGTCTTCCCTGATCCAGATGGTCCCATAATTGCAAGTAATCTACCAGGTTTTGCTTCTCCGCTAACATTTTGCAGCAAAAACCGCACCTAAAAATCAAAATGACGACCTAAATTTCCATTCACACTCATAAAATACTCATTGAAATAGAATCTAATTCTTAAAGCCTCAATTTCAAGACAAAAATAAGCGACGAAACTCTAAAAGGCAAAAACATTACCCTTAAGAGCTTACATATCTAAGTGTTTTCTAAAGAGGAAAAACGAGACAAAATTTCAAAGTGAAGTGAAACATCCAAAATCAGTCAGAATAATCAGCCATTCAATCATAATTTTCAGCTTCTACTTTATTACAGTGTTCAAATTTTTTTCTTATTCCACTCTCTTCCAAATTCTAAATGCAGCACACTTTTGGAATCTATAACATTTATTGACCTCAGGACCAATAACTTAACCAAGAAAAACACTTGAATTCCACCACAATCAAATAAGCTTTAAACTTATACTGCTACTTACAGTTCCAATACAAAAAATAAAAATAAAAAATTGCATGATATATGCACTTACTCTATAAGTTATATTATGCATACTTACTGATTTAGAGGATTTATCGGAGAGTGAACAGTTGATGTTAGTCCATTTAATAGTAACCGGCGAAACCTGTCCTTTGACCGGAGCTTCGTGGTCTCCTTCCTCGTCATCGGGGACGTTCTCGGGAAGGACTTCTGGTCCGGGTGCTGAGAAAAGGCGGAGCAGTAGCGCTGCCGCAACCGCCGCCAGTAGCTGACCAACTCCGCCTCCTTTCCCGCCAATTCTCAGCATTTTCCTGTTTGTGTCTTTCTAATTCTGGTTAGCTATATATGTGCAATGAGCAAGGGCAAGGTGGGTGCATACGACGCCGTGTCACTGGAATTTGAGTAACACTATGTGGCCACCAACCTCCATGGTAGAAAAATGGCGAGTAGGAGATTGATTTGTTTGATGGACGCGTGTCGCTGAACGAAGAAGATAAGATTTTCCTTCGATTTTTTGCCCGTTGGACGAAATTAGCGTCATGAAAATAAGTCAATTCTTGTATAAATAGATAAGAGGCGTCAAAGATTTTATTGTGGAAAAACTAATTTAAATTTATTACTAGAATTTATTTTTTTATTTTCACGAATAATGATAATTAGGATAATATCACAAGCACTGGAGGAGCCAACAAGGGGTCCCTGCCAGAATTAACAGTCTCCATCAGGAGTCGAGAGGAAACTTGAAACGATGACGCAAGGATGCTTGGGAGGAAACTTGAAGGATTGGAAGATGATAGTTGTGTATTGAGCATTTTCTCATTTTTAATTTTTTTGATTGTGGGTCTTTTCGTTTGACCTTTTAAAAAATAACAATGGCTCAATCGGCCAATCCATTGGATTCAGGCCAATGATTTAATGGTTTTGTATTGTTTCAATTGCAATTTGCAAAATTAGAGAACAAACCAAGCAATTGCAAACCGGCAAACCCTATCCCTCCCGCTATGCACTCAACTCAGCCTCTGCTCGGTGATCGATTGTCGACGAGTAGCTGTCGACATCGAGCCTCTTCGGTCTGCACCACTAGCCCACTACAACTCCACCACCGTACATATTATTATTTTTATAGTTTTCTAGTTTCATTTCCTAGATTGAGAGCATTTTGTATTTCTTTCCCGTTTATTAACTGCCCAATTTTGTTGTTGAATCTTTATTGGCAATTTTTTTTTGTTACATGGTTTTATTTTTTCTAATTACTTCGTTATGATTGAATGCCTTCTATGATAAAAATAACTATTATCGTAATTTACTTTTTAAATGCATGTTTTATGTTTTATTAATTTTTTTCTTTATTTAGGTTGTTTCGTTTTTTTAGACTTTAGTTTATTTTTTGATTTATCATTTATGGTTTATGATTTATAATTTATCATTTTTGTATGATTTCTGAAAATTTGGAATTTTGTGAATTTGAGAATATGTGATATTTGTGAGAATATGTGATAAATGAAAATGATAAATTGAGGAATTTGTGATTTGTGAGACTCCAGAGAATACAGTCGTCTGAGTTTACAGTTATGGAGTGAAGTGGTATAATGTATTTTTTATTATTATTTTGGGGTATATTGAATTATATTTTCACATATATATAATTTTTATATTTTAGTGCATTTACAAATAAGTTGAATTTTTTAAATGTTATTTAATTAAATATTAATAAATGGCATCGTTATTATGATCATTTACTGTCAACGGTTAATAGCCAACGGTTGCCCTAACTGACCTTCAATCTTGGATTCACCACTTATCACAAGAAGTTTAATTTTTAAAATTTAAATTTTCCTAATTTCCAATAACCTTACTATGGGGAGAAAAAAAATCATGATTCTTGTTAAGAATTTCTTCCCATTATTATTTGTATTCTTTTTTAACCATAGTACCTTCTTCATTCGAGTTGAAAGAATAATATATCTATGTATTTTGCATTTTTGTCGTAGTCATCTCGACATTCAAACCTTAGTCATGCAAAATAATTAATTATTTCAATGACAGTAACATTCTTCACGATTACAAGGATTAAACAAAATCTTACAATTTTAGGTCATAGTCGCACAATGTAATGACAATCTAAAACGTAATGATAATTTTTCAAAAATGTATTAAGTCATATTCTTAAATTGTAAATGCATGCTTAAAATTATAGATTGTCACAATTTAGTGATTAGGAGCCGCACAACATATATGTCACAATTAGACAACATATTAGATCAAAGTCACATTTTTAGCACAAAAAGATCGAAAGCCTGTGATCGGAACAATTGTTTAAAATTGATTGTTCGATTATGGACTTCACCAATAGATGTATAATTGGACATAGAAATTGTAATCGATCATTCTGGAGAAACCGTGGACAAGAAGGAAGCAATTATTTTGGACAAATCGTGTTAGGAATTTGTGGCCATTTTCTTCATCTATTCTGGATAATTAAGTCACTGAAGTCCGGTATTCTATTTTTGGTTTTAGGATTTGTTGGAAGGAAGATGACTGAGTGTTTTTTTAGGAAATGGTATGATGAGAGAAAATAATTACTTATTATCATTTATTAATCCTCAATTTAAATCACATTATTCTCTTGTTTAAATCTATAAATTTATAATTTTAGGAAATATAATATTAATTTATGACCATTTTATGAAAAAAAATTATATAATTTTGATATTTTTAAAATTTTATTCTTAAAATATGGTACATATGGTATTTCCCTTTTCCCAATGCAATATAATGGAAATTGGCAGTGTGAAATTACGAGTTTCGTCCCAAATCACACCTAGGGAAGGGGGGAGGGGGTGAATATGAGATTATGCGGAATTTAAGAATTAATAATTAAAAAGCAACAAGTCATTTTTAATTATCTCTAGACGATTAATTAACCAATCTAATTTTTCTATGTTGAATTACCGTAGTTATATGAAAACAGTAAATAACGAGTAGAATGATCACAGAGAAACCCCAATTGGGTAAAAAACTACGAGCACGGTACCAGTCAAAAATCCACTATAAACGAATTTAAATTTACAGTCCGTCAAACATGACTGTCACTAGTACTTTCTGACCTCCTGACTGTAATTTTCACAGCCCTCCTGAATTGCGTGCTCATGCACCAACTCTCAACTGCAATTTTCAAAACCCTCATGGAATGCGTGCTCCTGCACCACTTCCCGACTTTATGAATTCGTCTATTTTTCGTAGATCAATGAAGAACTCTATGTTCTCCAACAATTGGAATATTAATCATCTTCTCTTGATTTTCAGAACTCTGATAGATTCTTTGGAAGTAATGGTTTTGGTATTTGGTTTAAGTGAATTTGATATTTTTCACTGCCAAGAACAAATCAAACTAAGAAGGTTGAAGGCTATGAATGAATTTGAAGAAGTAGATATGGAGAAATATGAGTTCTCTCAATGTTCATCCTTAGAAAAAATCGTTCAGAGGCATGTTCATATTTATACTGTAGGTTTTAGGTTGAATGAGCCGGACAAAAAGTCTTAAAAATGCTAATTAAAACTTTTCGGATGACACTGTCGCTCGAGTTAGGGATCAGCGACAGGTGAGCGATAGGTTATTGCTCGAGCGGCAGGCGGGCGATGAAGTTTAAGTTTCCTAGGATATTCTAGAAATAGTTGAGCCTATCTATGTACAATTCTCGTACACGAGTTGTGATGGAGTCCATCAATGTTTTAGTAGATGATGCTTGTAGTGAGGGGGGAGATTGGAGAAGATTGGGAAGAGTTAGATCACTCGAGTGTAGATCCCGTCACGATAACTGAACCTAAAGAAACTTCAATTTCAGATCTCTCACACGCTTCTAACGGTCTAGGTATATCCAATAAGGAGTCCTCACCTGATGATAAAACTAAACCTCCTATGGAACTTTCTTTCTAGAGTTAAGTCTAATCATCCAAAGGTAAATATTGGGGATTTAGATTAAGGGATGTCACTTCGTAAGAGGGTTTTAAACAGCCAGACATTTGCTAGTTATGTGTCTTAGATTGATCCCAAGAAAGTAAAAAATGCCCTTAGTGATGAATGTTGGGTAAATGCGATACATGGGGAGCTAAATCAGTTTGTGAGAAAAAACGTATGGTATTCAGTTCATAGGCCTGATGATTGTAATGTTATATATACTAAGTAGATATTTAAGAATAAAATCGATGATCAATGTACCATAACTAGGAACAAGGTTATGTTAGTTGCCCAAGGATATACTCAGGTTGAAGGGGTGGACTTTAATGAGACGTTTGCCTCGGTAACTCGACTTGAATCCATTAGAATTATTCTGACCATTGCTTGCACTTTAAGATTCAAATTATATCAAATGGACGTCAATAATGCTTTCTTGAATGGAATACTTCAAGAGGATGCTTACGTTGAACAACCAAAATGATTTATTTATCCTAAGTTTCCGCATTTGTCTATAAATTGATTAAAGTTTTATATAGTCTTAAACAAGCTCCTAGTGCTTGGTATGATAGATTAACTGTATATCTCGTGGAACATGATTTTTCAAGAGGTGGTGCAGATAGAACTTTATTCATTAGACACATTGAGGAAACTATCATCTTAGCTCAAATTTATGTTGATGACATCTGTTGACATATGGTTGATTTCATCTTCAATGTTTTGATTATAACAAACAAGATTAATATTGTTTCTAACAATTGATTTTGAGTTATGATAGTTTAATGTTAAAATCTATCGACTATTGCCAAAATCAACACATCATAAATCGGACTCGAAATGAATAGTAAAGTGAAAGTTAAGCATTCAAGTCAAATCATTCTAGACGAGAGTTTAAAAGATCAAAATCAATACTATTAAATCGGGCTCATAAAGAAGGTCAAAATCGAAGTCAAGCATTAAATCAAATGTCAAGAAAGACCAAGATCAAGAGTTTAAGAGCCAACATGAAAAAAATTTCGAAATAAGATCAAAGACTAGGCTTTCGAGATTATATGTAAATGTATAATACTTTAATCTTTAGTAATGAATGACAAGAGTTCAAAAATCATTTTGTATACAAATAGTTATTTTCATATCACTTGCATAAAATATTTTTTATCAAAAGTAATATTAATTTTTCAAAATGATACTTCAACTTAGATCAAATCTAAAAAAAAAAAAAAAAAATTCAACTGTCAAAGTCAACGATCAACTGGACGGTTGACCAGGCAGACGTCTGGTATGCCATACCGGGCATCTGGTATGGCAGTAACGATAAGTTTTTTGACCGTTTTGACGCAACGGCTAGTTGA